TTGCAGGCAGGTTAAGGAGGAATTTAAAGGAATGGATATATGTTACATAAAAGGAAACCTCTTACAATAAAATAAAGCAAAAGCATATTACATGTCTATGCTCCTGAACACAGCTACAATAGGTAACTTTGAGCAATTATCTACATATGTAAACCGGGTACAATATACGGTCGTAAAAGAAATTTTATTCTAACCTTCCTCCTTGAAGGATGCCTTATGTAACAAATATATCAAGTTCAGTACCTCCAGATTCATAAGCCGGACCTTTGGGGCCACAAAATAATAAAATAATCAACGCGATATGCCAGGCCAACTTATCAAGAGTCAATTGAGTATAGTATCCTAAAATCGTATGGAAAGTTTAAAATGTGCTTCACTCGTGTTACATATATGGATTTATCGTTCTTTATTACTGATTAAAATTCTGAGAGTGTGACTCAATTAATTCAAAAGAAAATATCCAAGCAGGTTACAGAAATGGTTCACGAATTGTAAACTGATAATGTGCTAGCAAAACTCCCCAAAATTATGGTGCTGATAAGAATTTATCGTTCATAATCACTTATGAAATTCCGAGATTGTACCTCAATGAATTCAACAGAAAATATCCAGGAAGGTCACAGAAACGGACTCTCGAAAACTCGAATTCGACAACTGTAAACAACAATTATTTACGCTAACCATGTGCTTACCATCGTGCTTGTGAGCTCATATTGCCAGGAGTCCGTTTAATTACACGATCACAGCTCGGACGCTTCTTGAAAAATGTGATGACTACCAATTTCAGAGATCGATTCTTCAGTTTCCAGTAAAAGGAAAAAATTATCGTATCGCAAGCATGTTCATCATAACCCGAGCATTAGGTACGCCTCGACTGATGTCGAGCGAAGAGAAAGTGGCTCCGTGTTTTGTGAGACAAAACATTTCTTGAAGTTCGAACGAATCGAGCAGAAAGCATAAAAACATAGCGCTGAAAAGTGCCATGACCAAACAATGAAATTCACTCCATTTTACCCTTGAGTTTGTTTGCACCACATATTTGAGCTCGATAATTTAATATTCTGAGATGTTTGACGGGTTCTCACATGACAATATTGTCAAAATCAAATTACCGCGTCAGACTCAATGTAAACATGAACATCGCTGACTCAATGTCATTATATTTCAATTTTGGGAACGGCTATCACTTCGTTCTTAGGGTAAAACAACAAATCTTCGACAAAGCGCGATTTTTTTTTAAATCAATAATTTAAACCATGCGATAGCTAAGTGAATAGAGAATAATAGAAACTTGCTCACGCCGTTCGTTATCATTTTAAAACTTTCTAGGCAAGACATAATCCGTAGTTTGACATATTTTCCCTAAACACCACGACTGTATTAAATATTCTAAAAGGTAGGACAAGAATTAGTTTTAAGAATAGGAACACTTTGAAATGTTATTCGAGCGATGAACGGGCGCGAGGGTTTTAAAGCGACGAATACAAAGGTCATTGTTTTACCGAAACGTGATTTGAATCATAAACTGAAGCTAGTATCAAACGAAGATTGGGGAAAAAGGCTTGAATTTTTCTGGGCCTCGCGCTGCGAGCTCCGCTAATATTCTTGTTACAATCTCTTGAAAAGAACTCACGAAAGTGGTTTATTCTTCATGACATTGTCTCCATTTGTTTCCAAAAGAAAACAAATGTTTACATTATTGTTTTGTAAAGGATATAGCGCGAAATGTGATCTTGCCAAATGTTTGCCCTCAACCAGTGCGCTGTGCTGTGTGCCTTTACGGTTGGATACTTTTCTGTTGCCATTGCAAACGTGTTGTGTCTTATTCCTTTAAAGTCTGATGCTTGACTTGACGCTTGTCAAATCATTATTCAAAGGAAAAAAACCGCGATTTGTGGAATAATACCTTCTTTGCAAGAGCAACATACTACAGTTTGCTGTAGGATGTTGTTAGAAATTGTGTAGACCGACGATTATTACAAAATGTTGTAGCCATCATTACAAAATGCGTAACTCGATTTTGTTACAAATTTCTGCAATACGTCTTACAAAATGTCAAAACCGTTTTCGCAAAATGCGTGGGTGTTCCGTGTTAGTTTCCCTCTCAATAACCTTCGTATTAACTCTGAAGTCTTCGAAACTGGTGTAAGGGGTGAAGATCACTTTTTAGTCCTCTTGCAGCTTTTCCAACACGTTAACACTTAAGCTCCCATGAGTGACCAAGACGGAATTTCTTCTTACAATATCAGTAAAATATCAAGCGGACAAGTGATGAGAATAATAATAATAAAAAAATCATTTAGGAGATTTTAAGTTGATCTAATACCAAGTTCTCCAAACTAATATGACAAGAACTGTATGGGAGACAGAAAGGAGAATTAGTAATGAGATCTTGATGATATCTTGTGAAAAATACGTGCGTATCATCATTGGTGATATAACTCCTCATTTCTGTCAGAGGTTTCTTCTTTAAGAAACGTGTACGAGGAAAAAGAACGCAACAGATGTTATAATATTTTTTTAGGGATTCTTATCAGTATTATTATTTTTGTCTTATCATTTTTTATTGAACAAGGTCGTAATTTCTCTTCACCCGAGTTTTTTTTTCCAATCTTTGTTTTGTCAGGAGTTGTCTTTCTTAGGATTCTTGATTTTGGTTTCATTTGTCATACCATCATAAATAACACCGAAAGAGACATGATTTATTTTTTGCAAGGTAAGATGAATAATGAACTTCAGTAATATTCTTCTCTCGTCTCTGAAAACTGAAATATTTTGGACCGGAACTCGGTGAAATCTTTATAATAGAGCATCCACCACTTCGAACAATCTCAGAAGTAGAGAAAGATTCCATTTATCTCATCTCAGCCTAAATCGG